AGAAATCATATACATAACATAACCAATCTGCACAACCCACAACATCAAAAGACTTCATGTAACGACTCAGGAATAGAGCATCACAAACTGCATTAACACTCATTAACATGCATGAAAAGAACACACAGACCCCTCAACTAGCAACAGAATAAAAGAAGGATGATTACTCAAAAATCCTCAAAATATCCACTTCTTGTTGCGCTCCATTCTTTGCCGAGCTATCCTCCCTTTGGTTGGCTTCCTTTTTTATGTGTCTAATTTCCAAGCTAGACGGGTTAGCTTTGAGTCTTTCAATTTGCAACAAACATTTCCTCATCCTTTTGGGGTTTGTCAGAAGAGCTTCTTTAATAGTCATAAGTTTAGCTAAATTTGAGTTAGCACTACCTATGGACTTGGGAAAATTAACATCACCATTGCAATCTTGAAGAGTACCACTTATACCAGCAGGCTTGGGACACCCTTTAGTCGCCCCATCGACATTAAATTTCATCTCCCCATCCTTGAAAATTCTCATTTTATTCCGTTCCTGCCTCTTTTTTATTGACCAAGTCTGTTACGAGCAAGAGGCTGTCTGTAAACATCCAGCACCGAAAGACACTCATGAGGCCATCTTGTATTAGCCCAAGAAGCAACTCTGATTTTTGCAAGTTCGAAGCACTGACCTGTGTTCCATTCTTTGCTTGCAAAGATGGCCTTGTTCCTATGTTTCCAAATCGTCCAAGCCATAGCAAAATAAGCTATATTCCAGATTCTGTCATCAACTCCCCCAAGTCTGCAATCCATCCAAGATTCAAAAAAAGTTCTCACATCTTTCAGGAAAAACCACATATACCCACAGCCCTGCACTAACCTGTCCATATAGTCCATGTTTCACAACATTTCGTGAACAAATAATCACACGTTTCTCTTTCTTTATTGCACAACACACATAGCAATGAATTATTCTACATCACTCCCCTCTTAGCAAGCTCATCTTTAACTGCAATTTTTCCATGGACTTACCAACCTATTCCAATTTTTTTTAAAATATTGTGCCAATAATGAAACCTATCAAAATTATATGGGCTTACCAATTTTTCTGGCTTCTAGCAGGTTTACCATCAAAGTATAACATACACTGTTTTCAAAAAAAAAAGAAGAGTGTGACATAGACATATTCTTGCAATATTGCCCATGTAGTGCTGAGAATTATTCTCAGGAATCAAATTCAAGACACTTAACTTTATTTTTTTTTTTGTGTGTGACCTTGATAAGGGAGTTAGAAGAGTTGGAAGATGTTTAGGATCAAACTCCCCAAATTACAGTTAACATCTAGATTTGAATTAGCTTGAAAGGTTTTCTTACAAAAAGGACTACCAAAGTTGTCATATTTTGCCCTTTACAATACCCATTGACGTCCACCTGCAGATTCAATCTTGGTCTCTCAACCAGCGAATTCTATGCAAAAGAATAAGCCAGAAGGTTAGATCTTCTCCATGTCACAATCTTGGTCTCTCAACTAGCAAATTCAATGCAAAAGAATAAGCTAGAAGATGATATCTTCTCCGTATCACACTGTTTCCAAGTGGGCAAGATTTGCTCTACTCCCTATGGATTCCAACTTTTTATCTGTCATTTTCTTTTTTTTTGATCTTCCAATATATATGACTCACTCTATATTCAGATATATTTCTTTATTTTCTTTCAACAAAATAATGAAATTTGATGTCTTAATGCTTAATAGAAACTTGGGATTCCTCCTTGGTCTTGATCCCATGCCCCCACATAAAATCTTTCCCCATGACCAAAAGGTTTTTAAAGGCATCGATCTGAGCTAGAGTGAAAGTAGATTGTGATTTCACATCTCACCTTCAAGATGATTAGACGGGCCTTGTCCCTTGGGCCCCTGGCCCTTGAGTCTTTGAAGTTACAGGTGCAGGCTAGCTGCAACATCGTGGAAGAGCTTTATCTTCCGAGACGGTTGAAATGCTGAATCATTTTCGACTATATTCAAACTCAGCTGGTGTGCATGTGCCCACTGATCTTTTCTTTTTTAAGCAAAGCTCTTCATCTCAAGTTGGATGCTTGAGATTTGGGGAACAAAATATGTGTTGGAGGCCACTCAATATCCACTATCTTCCGTTGATATTTTGGGGTGCATGAAATCATGATTATTAGGGAGAAAAGTATTAGCAATCTAATTAAATTATTCTTGGTTATTAGTCCTTAACAGATACTAGGTCTCCATCAAAGAAATGAAATGTCATGTGGCATGTAGAGTAGCTGGTAAACAAGGAAAGTGAATACAACAGAGGAATGGAAATGCAAATGACTGGCCTCATATATGTGGGAAGCATGATTGTTAGAAAAGGACTTGAAGATGACTGAAAGCTAAGGGAAACCTAAACAGAATTACCCTTTCTGATGAGCTATGAGAGAATTTTTAGGGAGGAGATTCTTCAAAATTAACCTGCCGGTAGGTATCTGTGCATTAGCCCTGAGTCAATAAGTGGCTTCCAGAGCAGATTCAACATAGTTTGTTGAAGTTGAAGGCCTATATCAGTAATAGTAGTTTGAAAGCCCATTCCATCAACGTTACAGCATTTTTGGTAAGGCCTAAAAAACTTCAATAACTAAGAGCATTGGTTATTTATCTGTTGATCATGTGATTCACTTCTCAGGTATACTCTTCCAAGTAGCCAATTGATCAAAGCTGCAGTCATGCATTGAAGGTTGCTAGCTTGCAGGATTGCAGCTAAATTTTTTCAGTGTTGTTTTCTCCCATTTGTAAACGGGATTTGTTCTTATTATGGTTATATACTTTCTTTTATCTAATTTTTGCAGAGAATGTTTGTCTTTGTTAGTTGAAGGTTACATAACAGGATAATACAACCTTTGGTCAAATTAAATTGCTTGGACAGCTACTAGCCAAAAACAAAGGCCCCTTCTTTGATATCAAATAAATTAATGTGTAATCAATGTACATAAATGAATAAACCGAAATTTTCTGAAATCACTCTTATTACATATAAACCACCATACATTTCCATGATATAGGGAGGCACGACCCTTTAGTTAACCTCCTCAAGACCCCTAACTAAGGAGCAGGATCTATTATTGTTATTCATGTGCATATTATCTGGTACATAAATCATAAATCATTACAGCCTACCCTGCCTCAGCAGCTTTTGACAGAGGAGAATTAGTAATTCTTTTTAAAAATCATACACTTGACAAAGATATATCCCTGCCTTTCACCTGGAGTAAAAAGAATCGTTGCAAACTGCCTGAGAAACCATTAATCTTGAGTTATCATGTAGGTTGCCTGTTAGACTTTCTGTTGAATGAACTGAATCTTCCTTGCTTATGCTTCCTTCTTGGCTGTGATGACTGCGGGAAAAAAACTCCTGTGCCTTTGCTTTCTTTTCTGCAGCTTTGTCCATGAAGAAATGGGGATGGTGCTACTGGATAATTTGCTCTTGAAAAAGCCTGAACGTTTCACAGGACAACTTAGTTCATTGACAGTTTTAGTAAAAAATGTAAGAGAATTCCATGAATGAAAAGAATGGAGACGATCAAGAACCTGGAAAGAAACAGGAGGGCACTTTGCAACTGGATCCTCATCGTCATCCATGATTAGCAGAGAGATTTGCTTGCTTAAGTCAGCAAAAAACAGATCATCTTCTAGTTCAACAGCTACTTGGGCTACCTCCATGCCTTCTCAAACAAGAATTTCCTTCTTTGGGCTATACCGAAACTAGAACTTGAAGAGAGTTTGTCTAGTGTGTTTTTGGCAAGAAACTTTATAAGTTTCTTCGAGTATGAATGTCTCTTGCCATTAATGTAGCCATGGGCTATATAAAAAGGGAAAAAGCAGGAGAGATTTGTGAGTCAGGAGCATCAATGGGAAATCGCATGTGGGGTAGTGGGGGTCTCCTAGTGGCAGTTGGCAAATCTGGCTGAAGCCCCACAAACCCCACAATAATCATTTGTATTATGATGTTATCCAGTAGGGGAGACGAGATGAGGACAGCAAACTAGCAACAGCCCAAACCCTGATATCTAATCCAGATCTCTACAGCAAATGCTTGGCTGTAAATTATGGGTAAGCCTCACTCCTTTTATCTGTTACATCTCTATAGGGGAACTAGTTTTATGTCTTAAAATATTCATAGTCCATGACCGTCGAGTACTTTACTCGCAGACAGAAACTCCTCTCTTATATACTTAGCTAGATGTTGAAGTCAATTCAATTCTCATGTTTTCGCTAAAGAGCAATCACACAGAGTAATCAGAGGATCTATCTCCTTTTTAGAGCTTGTAGCAGGGCAACAACTTTAATAATTTCAAAATTTTTGAGACTTGCTTTTCCCTCTATGCAGACTACAGTGTATTTGCTCTAGGGTCTCGCCAGTGCCACTAGCTTCTGGCAACATGTCAGACTTCCATTCAGGTTCTGAGATTTTATGTCCTTCATATCAAGTATCTTTATTTAGTCTAAAATAATAATAAATATGCCATCGTTCTTTAAACAAAAAGAGCATGCATCAACTATTAAGCTAAGCCAGATGCTTAGGCGCTTGGAAAATTGGCTTCTTGCAATAAATAATCTGACTGGTTTTGAAATGAAGTTGACTGGAAACTGGAAAGACAACCACTCTTATCAGATCAACTACCAAATAACGAGTAGGAAATTCACCATCTTGAGGTTAAGAGGATAGAAGGGGTAGGGGATCTGTGGCCCACTAGGGGTGGTTCAAATAATGCATCAACTGATGAACAAAGTTTCATGACACTTCAAAGAATAGCTGTAGGTAGTCTTTCAATCTATCAAAGGAAAGCTAGATAGAACTTCAATTATGGTGTTATGTCGGTCCAGGGTCCACATTTTTTGCTGGCTGGCATAGGGGACATGCCCCGTTTGAAGAATATGGAGTATAAATCTTCGTGTTCTCTCCATATAAGATTTTCTTTTCCATAGTTTCAGTTTCATTATTGCATTCAATAAAGAGAGGTAAATATGATGAAGACTTGAACCTTCAAGCTAAATATACCATTTGGAAGCAACTGGCATCTTGGAAGTTCAAACAAAATGTAACAGTAACTGGGACCTAAACACATTTTCTTCTCCAAAGACTGAAAAATGGGATTGAAACAATTGACAAGAAGATTATACTGTAAAATGATCATTTCTATTAGTATGATCATGCACCACCAGCCATATCCATATCTGTAACCCCATCGATCCCCTTGAAATTGACACGCAATTTTCTTAAACCAGAAGATTTTTTGTTGTCCTTGTTGATTGTACCAGTCGCATGGAGGATGTCTTTTGGGACTTTATCCATGAGGTCATATAGCGGTAAACTTAGATTTGATCGGGTCATCTCTTCCAGAACAGGAGGGGCCTGCATGTATAGATTCTTCCCTCGATATGTGATTGACGCTTTTGACATGAGCAGCTTAGGATGCTCCTCTAGCATATCAATAAACTGCTTCCGCACAAATTGAATAAAGGAAAAGGCATAAATATAACAACATACTAAAATTGACTCAAGCCAACCTATAAAGTCAGCTCCATAAGAAGCAGAAAGTTAACCTTTTGTAGTGTAACTGTAGCATCCAGCTCAACAAGAACACCCGGACCACAAACAAGACAGTCCTTGTCCTTCACAAATTCAGTCACTTTCGTGTGAAGACCTTCAACACCATTATACCTACAAAAGCAGTACACAAGTTTGACAATGGATTTTGAAGCCCAATATATGGCCAACATGAAAACACAAAATAATAAAGAAATAAAGAAACGAATATGACTGTTCTAAAGCCAGATAAAAGATTGAAACAAGAAATTGTTCATCCGACTGCAAATATCAAGTTTGTTGATTGTATTAATCTCTACAATGTGCTGTTAACAATCAAGTCATCATAATAAAGAATCAACTTTTTTGCATCGTTTCAGAGAGCCTATATGCCCCTTCATCTCACTATCTTTTGCCAAGATCCAGAGATTCTATAATTGCTACCATCGTTGTGGTTGCACTCCTAAAACATTCCATTTATGCATTCTAAATGGAAAATAAGTGACACAAGCACCATAACCAGAGTCAAAGCCATTCAAATGTTGTGACCAATTAATCACAAGTTCCAATATGAGAATGACCCAAAGAAAGAGAGAGTCTTCGACATACGTAAGATAGTTTGATAGAGTTTTACTGCATCCTGATGCAATCTTCAAGGTTTCCAAAGCGCATGCAGCAGAAATAATTGCATTGGTGGAAGCAATAGCTGGTATGATGTTTTTCACAACACCCTGTGAGCGACAAAGAAATACTATTATTCTTTTATATACTATCAAGAACAAAGCAGGAGCATCTATAATCAATGAGGAGAAGACACTCAAGCGTGACTGTTTCTACTTTAACCAATGATAATTAGTACTTTAAATCTGGTATCAGAATGCCATTAGCTTATCATACATAGTTGAGAAGTTTGAAATATTGAAGAGTCATTAAAAAGACATATTACTTAAAAACCAAATTGATAAGTTAGACAACTTAAAATATTAACTTTTTCTTCTGGAATCATATAGAACACCAGAGGTAGCAATATAGCAATCAAGCAAACATAAGTCAAACTTTAGCTTCCCAGAATACCTGAGTAAGAGAATAAGTAACTCCTGGAATCCCAAAAAGCTCTGCTCTCTTGACAGCCTGTGATATTTGGATGGCGTTAATGAAAGAATCAAAAGCAAAACCAACTTAAAGAAAAGCATTGCTATAAAGATTAGTATAATTAACCTCATCATAGACCCACTTCATGTGATCTGGGTTATCTGGATCAAAAGCCTTTCCACTGTGACCCTATAAGGTGGGAAAACAAAAACTGTCATGAAATATCAGAATCAACTGACATGAAAGCTATTTGAGAAAGTGACAAAGAAGACACTAATTCTTGAATTACCTCATCCCATTTAATTAGGTGAGCATATTCAATACAATGAGCTGCATTTCTGGGTGTTTCTGCTAAAGTACATAAAGGAAACTTCACTTGAGGAGGAAAAAGCCAGATTGTACACTCAAAGCAAGGTGTGACCCCTGGCACAATCACCCTAGCATGGCCCTTGAAACCTTCGGTCCCACCATCTACCATAGGCTTCATTGTTTCTTCTCGTGGGTTGTCGTCAGAATCATACTCTTGAATAACAGAAAACAAAGAGGCCAAATATTAGCCCCTATTCAATATAGAAAGTCACTTTGACAACTAAATGTTGGTACATTAAAGGAGAGGAGATAAAAAATCAGATGCCTAGCTCAGAATTCATGCTACAAAAAAGAAAAGCAAATGGTATGATTACCAGAAACCTGCTTCTTATTATCTGTCAAATGTCAAGTTATCAAACTCAGTCCTCCTTAAATGGCAGGTATGAAGGGATTAAGCATGTCCAAGGTGACTTAAAAGAATTATGTTGAGAAACATGCCACAGTTGTGAGCTCTCAGGATATTCACAACTCATATAAGCATGGAAAGCATTATGCCATAAGGCTGTGTGCAATCTACTACCCTTATATAACTATCATCGTGCCATGAAGAGAACCTAGAGTATTCGAGTATTTTTGCAAACCCTCACATCAAGATACATTCCAAGTTATCCCAAATGCAAGAATTTGAAATTTAAATGTCCTAGGCCTAGTATAATAGATATACAAAACAAATTTCAAGTAGATACAGTCAGCTTTTAATTGATTGAAACACGCACCGAGGAAACTACAAGCCACAGCATTAATGTAGCTCCGAGCCTCAATGGAATCAAGACCAAGGGCAATAATGTTGAAGTCACTATAAAATTCAATGTCCTTGTCCTCAATTCGGCAAAAATGAGGCACAATATTCACACCACTAACTCTTTCCATGACACGCTTTGCTGCCACTTCAGCCTTTGGCTTACCAACATCTTCCAGCCTACAAGTATTAACACCCAAAATAACACTAATTTAAACTTTCCAGTTCCCAATATAAATTAAATAGCAGACACAAAGTAGACATTTGAGCTTCAGAGGAAATAATCAAGTAAAAATGCAATAAAGCAAATTCAATGCTGGTGATAATTAGCTCGTGAGAAAACCATCATAACAAAATGCATTGCCAATCTTTCACTAGACACCCATGAATCTTTCCGTGCTTTGTTTTTCCTTCTTTCTCTTTTTGATACATGTGAAAGCTCATCAGACTCATGCCGATAGTAAGTTAAGTAACCCTCTCCTGTCCTATGATTTGAACCTAAGACTTCCACAAACAAACACTAAAATTATGTAACAGTAGGTGCTAGCGAATTTCTGGTCCTAATTCGACAATCAATTTAATCAAATCATACCAATTCACGGTAGTAGCTAATTAAATCAAGAATTGAACCCCAAAAAAATTACTAGAAAAGGTAGGCGAAAAATAAAAAAGAAACCTGAAGAGAAATTGACGGTTGAGATTGGTGACTTCAATCCGGTCCATATCAATGACCTCAAGATTTTTAAAACCAGAGAGAGCCAAATCCTTAAGTAGCTCACATCCCAATCCTCCTGCTCCCACCACCAAAACTTTCGCATATTCTTGTAAATCATCCCTTAACTGCAAATACCCAAAACCCTCAAAAGGAACAGTTCGCAAAAATTTTAAAGAGAGGGAGAGAGAGAGAGCAAGAGAATTATACTTGAACGCCAGGCTCGAAGCTCGGGCCAACGAGGTTTCCTGGTCGGAGAAGGAGCTTGTCTAGGTCTCTTGATTTACTTGGTGGTGCTGCGTCCGCCATTTTTTAGGAAGATTTAAGGTACTTTAGGAAGGTTTTTGATTTATAAACTGGGGACCCAAAACAGAAAAAAGTTGAAAAAAGATGGTCTTTTTGAGTGAAACGTAGCTTGAAAATCACGCTTGGCTCTGATGGCCTTTGGAGTTCGGATTTCAGGCCTCCATGGTCTTCGCTCTTCAGTCACCCAACAAATTTCCTTTCTTTTCCTTTCTTTTTCTGGATCAATTGGTTTTCATATTTTCTGTAAATCGTTTGTTTGAAGAGAACAATAAATGAAATTGTTTGGGGAGAAATAGAAATGGGTTAGGGGCCAAATCCAGAAGCAAATTTGGGGTGTTGTTGTTTGATCCGTTGCATCTTGTTTAAGGGCCCCTCTAGACCCTTTGGCCCATTGTTCTTGTTCTGCTCTTTTACTGCCTAGGTTTTTTACCTTATCTTGTTTCCTTCTTACAAATTGGTGCTGCAGAAGTAGGTAAAAACTAAAAACTACCATTGGAGTAGACCCTGCGCATTTTTATGTAAGCTCTATAAGTTCTCCTAGAGAGAATTAGCTTGCCACCTAAAGGTCTCACATCCCTTTTATATCGTTGAAAAGATTAAAGGCAAACTCTTCCTCAATGATGGCAGAGTCCAGGTTGTATAGATTTGAAAATCGAGGGACTGGTTGGTTAAAGTTGAACTACAGAACCTTAATTTCTAATTATAGTGTTCACGGTTCTTTTCTCTTGTTGCAAAAGAGGGCAGAGAAAAATGAAAAGAAAATCAACCAATAATATTTTAATTAGCCAACAAAATCACCCACTTCAACTCGTTCTTGAACCCTGATGCCTATTACTATTAGTACCAGTAAATCAACAACTTTTCCCAAATATTAATTGGTAAACAACCCTAACCCACTACTTTCACTACTTTAATTGGAAAATGTCCTTGGTTTGGTTCAATATGGCTTATTATGCTTAATAAATTAGGAAAAGCAAAAGGGTCATGCCAGCATAGTCATACCATCTGAATATCACAAGGCACTAGCATTAGTGCTTATCAACTGTCTAGTGATTAATATTTTTGATTCATTATACAAGTTAAATACAAAAAAGAAAAAGAAAAAGAAGGAAGATAATTACATTTTCTTTCCCAAGGAATATGTCAGATGATCTCAACAGGATGCTCATGTGTGAACTTGTCCTACAGCTTTATTCCCACAGGCAGAATCCGTGCCCACTAACTGCCCCTGAAATTGGGGCTCCTTGAATCAATAGCAACTCTCTAGCCAAATGGGAAAAAAAAAATAATGTTTTACTTCATAATCTAACACTGCCAAAATCATTGATCCACTTTTGAAATTTACCCTTGAGCTATGGCAAAATTCATTCTAAACTGTCTCCCATTTTGTCTTTGTGGGGAAGTCCGAGTCATTTCTGTGCATCTGTTTGTATAGGTGTATAAATTAGAGGCTTCATCCTCAATCAAACCTGTGCTTCGTATGTTGATGAGTTGAATGTATGATTAATATAATGTTTAAGGAACACTGCATAGAGTAACTCATTCCATGCATCAGGCACTCCGGGCAGACACCAATGACTGCAGTCCTGCCGATGAAGTGGTGCAGGGCTTTCCTTGGGACCCAAATAGTACAGAGATGAGTGGCCATCTTTCCTTCGGGCTGTCATACGAGTGACATTCAATATGTCAAATTTCATCGCCAGTGATGCATTCGAGTAAGCCAATAACACACCACTGACTATTTTGAATTGCTCCCAAGTTGCAGATGGCACCAAGGATGTCCCCAGCTCTGGCAGTGTCTCCATGTGGCAGCTTCCCCCAGTTTTCCAATCTCCTCCTCTGCGAAGTTAAAGAAATTTAGCTACTCCCGTAGAATGCATAATTGCCTATAAAATCTACTTAGCAAGGCAAAAACAAGGTTTTGATTCTTTCTCAGATGAGTCAGGTTTGTTGTAGATGCATTACAAGTGGCATTAATGCAGGCATGTAGAACTACACATGAATGTGCATATCAGAAGCAAGACCCAATAATAGTTTCATGTTGGACAAAGGAAAATGAATTATGTAGTATATACTTCAGGATCAACTTTCAACCTTAAATATTTGATGGTTAAACATGGCCTCAAATGCAAAAGGAATGCAGCATAAGAATTAATCCGTCAATCAAGTGCACATACACTATTATTTTGACAAGAGAATTGATATTTCTAGTATTAGTTGGAAAACCCCAGAAATTTCATCATTGACATCCAAGTTCTTATAACCAAGGCCCATCTCAGATCCCACCCACACCTTCTCCCAGGTCTCTACATATGCCAATTGTTTCCAGGAGACCAAAATACTACAAAAGGTGCCCAGCGAATGTTAATTACATAAGTGGACCTCTAAATGAGCAGCCTGCAATAGATATTAGCAGTAAAACAACTGCAAGATTAAAACAAACCTGAAATGTACAGGTGCAAATGTGCGGAAAAAGACCTTGGTCCTCCTTGTATTCACCTCATTATGTACCCACTGCATCACAGTCTCTATGGACCTTTGATATGCATGTTCTACTGTCATTTCCAATTTGACCTTGTCGCCTTCTTGAAAGTAACATCCCCTGGCCGTCAAAATGGAAATTTAAAATCAGATCATGGTACTTCCACCTAGTTCAAGCATATATGATAACTGCGAGCACTGATTCTCAATTTCTATTGACAATTGGCTTTCTCTTTCATACCTCCCCCCTTGCATGCATAAGAAAAAAATTCTAAAAGGTCACATCCAGTATCCATTGAGTAGATTTACATCCAACCCAAATCATAAATGACAAAGTGTAGGGTCCGTTGTTGTTAAATGTTGAAAAATCACTTAAAACCAACCCATGCAAGCCACAAAGTTCAACGCCACAAATTACCTTCTCTGTTTAGTAACATTTAAATTTAGACGGGACCCTCTCAGATATCAAAAGGAGAAATTACAATTGGCAGATACATCCTTTACCTAACAGCACTTTGCATTTAAATTTCCTAGAAAAACATGAGATGAAAGGTCCTACTAAGACAGAAGCAGGGTTCATGATTGCAAGTACTGAAGTGTTGCTCATATCTTTGAAAGAAAAAAAAGATGCTTAACCACAGTAAGAAGCTCTTTTCAAAGCAAAGTTGTTGAGCTGTCACAGGACCACATCTTATTATTCAATTAACAACCCAAAATCTCACATTATGAATATCAACCATAATGGCCCTCCATTATCCTAATCTACAAATATGCAGCTAGGGGTCATTGATATGGTAGGCATCCCCATAATGGAAGAAGCTGTTATAGATTCTGATATTCCTTCCAGGATGCCATTCAGTCATCCAATTTTTTTGTTTGCTTGGGACAACATAGCATGTTTGAAAAAGACTTTGCTTAAGCCACTCATCCTCATTACTTTTGCATTGGAAGATATTTTTCTATTCTTTTTAACCATAGATGTAATACTACTATTTACTACAATATAAACCAAATACTCACCCAGACATGTTTTGATTTAATGGAATTTTTATAGTATCAAAAGCTAACCTAGTCTAAGCTCATTGATTTGACATAAAAATCAACGATATAGACACAATGAGAAAGGATTTTAACAAGAACAAAAGAAATAGTTTACCCTCTTATGGTCTTCTCATAATTCCACCAATGCCCAGTATTGAAGACCAACACATCTGCATCTTTCCACCTAATAGAATTCCAATCCATTTGATCTAATTTAAGTGTTGTCTTGATCTTTTGTGGAGATCCAGCAGGAGGCCTGCTCTGCAGGACAAGAAAAGGAGCTCTGTAGTACTCCACCGTGCAATTATAATCCTTGAACTTGAATACTAAGAACCCTTTATGCTTCGTAATTGGGCTGCCGTTCACTTCATATATCGAATCTTGATTGGGAACAGCAGAAGCAAGCATGCAGAGGAGCGATTCCCATTGATTTCTTCCAATTGAATCACCAACAAAAACCAATCGCTTGTTTCGCAACTTCTCCAACATCACTTTTCCATCAAATCTGTCTTATCAATAACGCTAAAACAAATGAATAGATAAATCTTAATGAACAAACAACAAATATAATCAAGAATATCCAATCCTTATATTTTCCATTGGCAATTGAGAAATGATACTAGAAAGAGGAAAAGAATCAATGATAAGTTAACAGCCACAAATACAAGATAAGTATCACAAACCTTGTACGGTATAAAAGTCAGAAATGAAATTTAAATTATTAAAAGAATGTCATCAAAAGAGTGGCAATAAAATCTGATACCTCACACAAAACTTGTAATAACACAAGAAGTGCAGTAGAAATTATAAACTAATTTTTGAATAGTGGCGAAAGGTAATTTATGAAGTTATATTGAACATAAAAAACCCAGTTAATATAGAACAAACCATTTCTAATTACTACCAAGAAAAGCCAGTTTGGTATTGATTGTTTAAAAAGCTTCAAATCCTTATACGTTCACGAGGGAGGCTTATCTACGATAGAAAATGACCACAAAACTATAAGAAAGGAACAGGAACAGGAACAAAAACAAGCAATGATGAAATTGACTGAAACAAAGGACCAAGGAAAGAAAAGACAAAATTTTAATGAATCACGGGAAGCCACACTCAAATTGGCACTAAGTCTAACCATCTCTCAATCAAATTGCTTTGTAAATCTACCTGGAGAGGAAGTGAAATTAATTAGGAAGAAAAAGATAATTGAAAAGGCTGTCATTTTCATTGCACAGACAATTTCTAAAGCTTTATTATTAAACCTAAGAGGACATACGGGAAAAACCAAAGACAAATTACTTGTAAAGTAGCATAGAAATTATTGCCAATGAAAACACCACAAGTAGACTAAACCAACAAAAATTAATAAAAAGCATACATATCAAAATCACTCAATCTTCATGGTCTCTGTTTCTACTGCTTCCAGCTCAATAAAAAGACTCAAAACCTTTCTCGTAAATCAAGCTCTAACAATAACCAAGATTTCCTTGATCTCTATTATTTTCCATCAATTCATCCGCAACCAACAAATTGTAAGAGAATGAAAAATTTAAAGAATCAAGCAAAATAAGAACCTGGGAAGGTTACAATGCTTAGGCTGCCATCTCCATTTGGTATAGAACAAATCTGGTCTTCCATTTTCAGTACACCTAAATCCTTCATCAAGAAAGCTGCAATCTCTGGATTCATAAAGAGGATACCTTTCATCCCACACCCAATCACCATCAAACACATCACACCCTTCACCTTCCTGGCTCAAGAAATTAACTTTTTTAATCTCACTCGAAGAAGACCGATCAAGTTTA